GGACTGGGGATTTACCACGAATTCGAAGACGCACCTATGATTTTTTTTATGCGACGAACAAGTCGTGAGACGCGCCTGTCCATAGCGGTTGCTGTGTCACTCAGAGCTTTAAATTGCAAATATCTGAGGAGCACTGCCACTGTGCCCGTCACCGTGAAACATAAATTGATAAGTCTTATGTGCCTGTAATATCACCAACACGCTTCAAAACCGAAACGCAGTAATGGTCGACGAACTCTTTCACAAGGAGCTCTACTACTACTAAAATTCATACATACATATACTTCACGCCTTTTGCCCATCAGGGTAGGCAGAGACAAAAGTTTTCCACTTGCTACTGTCCTGACACCATCTTTCGCCTCATTGACATGCATCAATGCTTTCATATGGTCCTTCTTTAGATGCCTCAATTTGGCCGTGGTAAGTTCGCCTTGGTGGGCCCGTACCAACTCGCCCGTTCACACTCGCCTTATAAATCTGCTTCGTCAATCTCGCACATGAAAAACGCTACGCACAAAATGCGCTATTATGTGCGAGTGCTTAGTTGGGAATTGAACCCAAGACCTTTACATAGACTACTGTTGCCAATAAACTGCTAAGTACGTACCTATTCCATCGTTTCTTCACAAATGAAATTAGCACCCACCTAACTACAAAAAACGCCTACACGTCTAGTGCCTACCTAAAATGCATTAATGTCACTAGCTTCAATATATACGATTATAATCCAATAGAAACATTGTTCTACTTTAAAAAAAAATAGTAGCTTGCAATCATGCAACTCGAATCACTTCAAAAAAGCACTAGAGTTGCATTTTACTGTTACATTTGTAATAGTTACAAGTGGTTTTAATAATAGCTTCAGTGCATATTGATTTCATTGCGTGTGTGGGCGATTCATTTGGAAATAGGAATAGTAGAACTGCCTAAAGGCGTAACGAGGCCCAACTGGCTTCACAACTTCATACTGATACTAGAGAATAGCTACAAGTGGCGTCCTCTAGACGCTTTAAACCGTTCTTGACTTGCTTTAGTAGTTGGCACTAAACGTGTTTTGAATTTAGCACTTTACAGCAGTGTCGATTGCATTTTATCAATGAGATAAATTTATTGTATAAAAACGATAAATGAACGGCGATTATTGGTGAATGTTTGCTTGTGAAAACTGAGTATGTCTAAATCAGTAGCGACAAAAATGTTGAATATCTACAGCAGGCAGCGTGTAAAAGGATGAAAGATCTGATTTGATGGTACGATTTTATTTCATTCCATAAATCATAGTTTATAATTTATGGTTTTAAATTTTAAAATAAATAATTCAAATGTAGCACAAAAAAATAAGTCAAACAAAATAAAAAATAAAAAGAAATTTTGCAGTCATACGGGGTAATTTTTTTTAATATCACGTGACGGGACGAACAACTCTTGCGCCTGATGGTAACCTACACGCCTATCCATAACAGTTGCAGTGCCACTCAGAGTTTTAAATCGCAAAGATCTAACCGCACCGCCACTGCGCGTCACTCTGAAACATAAGTTGACAAGTCCCATGTGACTGTAATTTCACCAGCACCCGTACCCTCCTAAACAGGAACGCAGTAATGCTAACACTTTTGCTTGGCAACAGAAATAGGTAAGGTGGCAGTACTTCCCTGGACGAACTCTTTCACAAGAACCTCTATTGCTGCTAAAAAAATTTCAAACTAGCGGTTGTATGAGTACACCTGCATGCGAGCAAATAGCTCTCGAATTAAACCATTGCTGACGATGGCAAAGAATACACACAAAAATCATGTATCATACCGCTACACGGACCTTATAGGTTGAGGTCTTCACACTTTTTCCAAGGTCTGTGAACCATCTCCAAATCACAGGTTTCTTAATCATGTTTTAGTTCACCATTAAGCTAGAGACATCCCTACTGAATGTTAATTCATTAATGCACATCATCATCAACAGTCTGTCGCAGTCCAGTGCTGGACATAGGCCTCTCCCAATGCGGGCAAATGTCGCCCGGTCCTCAGCTCGTTGCATCTATCTGCTGCCAGCAGCCCTTCGCAAATCGTCAATCCATCTGGGAATAGTTCTACACTACGTTTTCTCGAATAACTCGCTTCCCGGTTATCGGTTCCTTCACAGAGTTGGCCAGCCCACTGCCACTTCAGCTTGCTTATTCTACCAGCTATGTCGATGACCTTAGTTCTCTGTCTGATCATCAATGCACGTAACTTAGGAATTAAAGTCTTCAATTCGAGACGCAACATTTCCCCACTGGGTTATCACACTTCCAAAACCCATTAGATCGAAAAGTAAAGGCCACGCCGTATAAGAAGGTCAAAGAAAAAGCTTTACTACTTCTACAAGTCTTTAGCTCATAAATCTTAGAGAGAGAGAGACAGAGAAAGAGAGAACATTGGCAATGTTTAATTTTAATATAAAATACTTTTCATTAAACACAAAATATATTCAGATAATTTAATTTGTTTTTAGCCGACTTAGAAAAGGAGGAAGTTATCAATTCAACTATATTTTTTTGTGTACATGTTACGCGATCGCTCAGCATTTGGGAACCGATTTTGATGTTTGTTTTTATTTGGAAAGAAGATATCTTAGGGTCGTATTCTAGAACTACCCCTGTATAACATAAAAAATAAATAAAGAAAAATAAAAACAAATCAAATTTAAATGGTACCAATACTAAGGGTCGTATCATTGACTTACAATTATATGGACGTCGGGTCCGCGCTAAAAAGTGTCCGAACTTATATGGCGTTAAAATCGTATACAGAGCGTCATTCACGCTTTAGTCTTCGTTTGTTCGACTGACAGCGAAGTTATTCACAAGTTCCCGTGGCAAAAATAGTTTAGTTTCATGCACAGAGTATAAACAAGAATGTCGACTGATAAATTAGGATCTTATATAATAGTTTTATAAATTAAACAAAGAACCTTGGAAGCAAAGTACTTCGGTCGACAAAAAGGTCCGGAACACTCCATCCCTATGTCGTTGATATACCACCCATTCGCACTAAGCGCTTTGCTTCGACCTTACTGATGCGTACTGCAAAGGAATCGAATATTCTATTCTAATCAGTGTTTCCCGAAAAGTGCAATTTTGGGCTATTCAAGGCTAGAGTGAATAGGTATTTTTTAGGCAAGCACGTACCATCGTCGGGCATATAGTCTCTTAACATCAGTTTAGTTTGCGTCCAAGCGTGTGTCAAGTCCCATGTGCCTGTTATTTCACCAGCACTCTTACCCTTCAAAACCATGTTACAGCTTGGCGGCAGAAATAGGTAAGGCGGCAGTACTTCCCTGGATAAACTCTTTCATATACGGCTACTGTCTTCGTGCCCAGTCGGTTCACAAGAATTTATCTTTATTTTAATTCGATCTTTGTAATAAAAATAACAAATTTGTGTAGTATTTTTACAAAAAATTATATTCAATAAAAATAAATATAAAATACTTTTTTTTTATTAACACATTCGAAATCACTATCTAATACTAGTTCCTCCAAAGTAACCTTAACAGCTCTAAACCTTGCTTATACGAAAAAGCACAATAAATAATATTAAGTCCCTATAATTCCGCCTTATCTGAGGCACGGGAAGGCAATTTCTTTGCCATGGTAAAATTATAGGACCCAGTGTGAAACTTTACACCACGCTGCGATTGCCGTGTGTTGGGGGTTTTAAAGTTGCTTAATTTATATTGGATATGTAGGTATTATGTTCTTTTAAAGTAACTGTATTATGGTATAGGGATACTGCTTGCATTTGGTATAAGAATCACATACACTATTGGCTAACCCAGTATAACAACTTTTGGTTTGTTAGGTCGAAAAGTTTTGTTGCACCATGAAAAATAAAAGAGAACAAATAGAATTAGAAAAAAATTACTGGCTTTTCTGTTAATTCACAAAAGCGAGAATGAATTTAAATGAAGTTTTTTTTTCATTCAATCAACTTTAGACAAAAGTAATTAGATACAGTCTGTCATAAGTAAGGACTTTGCACTGATTTTGATTCCATAATAAATAGGATCTAAAATTCAAAGTGTTACTTACGTACTTTTACAATGCAATAAAACGCAGATATTTTTATTGAACTCAAGAACAAAATACATAATCAAAAACAGGGTACAGCTGGCGGCCTTGTTGTTAGATGGTAAACTCTTCCATGTAGCTGTCAGGTGACAAGATAAACTTATTAATGTTAACAAGCAGAGCGTGTATTATAGACCTATTGCATTAATCCCTACCAGCTGTCCCCCCTGGTGGGGACAAGTGGATTTTTTTTCCACTCTTCCCTACCACACCGTCACTGGTTGGGATACATGGAATTACATTTCCACTTGTCCCTAAACCACTTCTATTAAACCATTTAACTGTTGCTTTTCTCCGAAGCTAAAAATGTCTGCAATGATTACTATCTAACTGACTAAACACTTCTTTTTTTAAAGTTAGTAAAAAGTTACGACCAGCAAATTTGACACTTTACCACTTCAAGGTTTCTTTTTGCGTTCACACCCAGCTTGTTTGTCAATCAAGTAAAGGCGTTTAACTCCTAGATTATATTTATAAAAAAAAATGCAAAAAAATAAACGGCTCGCAGCTTATTTCATTTTTTTTATACAAATGTTAAGTGACGATAAGGTCGACGGAGCATGCATACCTAAATAATACCCATTCATTCTCGCCTTGAAAAGGTCCAAGTTATAACGCTCAGGGGACACGTCTGCAGGCAGGGAATTCCACTCCATAGCCGTCCGCCATATAAATGTGGTGAGTGGAGTGAGATCGCCAAAGAAAGCTACAATCTCCGCTTTCAAGCAAAATGGTCTTAAGACTGGTAAAGCTTTAATTTTACTGATAGTGCTTACGACTAACATGATGAGTAGGTATTAGTCCATAAAGAAGTTATGAAATTTGTTTCCGACCCGCAAATTTTGTCAGTGAAAAATCTGAAACCGAACTAACCGTTCATTGTTCTTTCCAGATCTTCATGCACAAAAACGCGATGCAGATGCATGCTCGAGAGCTCCAACGAGGTCTCGGAGACCAAGTCAAGCCTCACCAGTGCCAGCAGTGTCTCAAGTCCTTCTCCTCAAATCACCAGCTCGTCCAGCATATCCGAGTCCATACTGGCGAGAAGCCTTACAAGTGCTCATATTGTGACCGAAGGTTCAAGCAGTTGAGCCACGTTCAGCAACATACGAGATTACATACAGGTGAGCGTTTTATTGAGCTAAAACAAATATAGCGCTTAAATATACAGTACTAAAGAAGTAAATGTTTTGTACATAAAATAAAAATTTAAAACTAAGGAACATATACATTCGCTGCAATTTTCAGTCTACTTAATGAAATTCAGCGGCTTAAATTCGGTGTTGTCATTTCCACCAATAGGAGATAGGTATTGCACCTAAAGAGAACGACGTAATTATTCATATTAAGAATGTCACTGTAATTGGTTAGTTTGACACACGTGACATTGAAGCTATGTGATTGGTCCGTTTTAATTAGCTACCGTTTTTGTAATTCTAATATAGGTACTATAAGAGCGGTTATTTTAGACTTTAAACGAAATTGCGTCTTGTATTTTATAATAGATTTCTTTTCATTGAAAAGTAGGTTATTAAACGTTAAAAAGAACCTCTTAAAGACCCACACCCACGTGCTACCTGTAAATCAATAAACAGTATATAACTATAATCCTAACGCCGGCATGAAATATCAAGCATAATTCCATATACTTACAAATATGTAAATTTTACGTTTATCTTTGTATATCCTTTATCCAAATCGGTTTAAATATTGGTTTAAGCAAATAACTGTTTCGATCTAGGAAAATTACTACATGTCGGTCCCAAAACCAATTCCAAAAAAGCGATTATATTTGATACGGGAAGTGACCTTCTTTTTCTTTCTCCGGAAGTTCGAAAAAGTTACTCCTAATGACGTATAGAGTAGGTTTAGGTCTTCGATAAGATTACCTTACATGTTGTACATAGGCAAAAGTCAGTAAAAAACAACTGAAACTATTTAAGAGTCTATACAACCTCGAATGGCTTTGGTTAATTCCGCTTAACAGTGATATTGTTAAATCAATCGAATGTAATATATTCCGTTTACTATACGGTGTGAAAACATTATTCCTCAATATTTTCGCGTTAGAAAGAAATCACAAACTCACGAAATTTTGCAAGAAAACCGCTGCATTCAATAGGCACTTTAGATAATCCAATGATTTCTTTTTCATATCACACACAACACGTATAGTATACGATATACACTTTTCAAATGGCTTTATTGTCTTTTGTAAAAATATGCCCCAAGCGTAATGAATGGTATTAGTCATTGACTTACAAATAAATGGACGACGGGTCTAATACAAAAACCACGAAAAAAATGTCCCAAGTCAACCTATTTAAACGTAGTGACATTTAAAGGAATATGAAAAAGCTAAAACGTTGAATTTAAATTGTAATGTCATCGCAGTACTGTCTAATTTTGCTTGCTTCTCTGTCAGTCGAACAAACGAAGACTAAAGCGTGAATGACGCTCTGTATACGATTTTAACGCCCTATAAGTTCGGACACTTTTTAGCGCGGACCCGACGTCCATATAATTGTAAGTCAATGGTATTAGTACGGGAAAATTTTTAATTCGAGCTGAGGCAGTATCGACTCTTAAAGGGAAATACAACTCATAAAAGCCAAACACTTTTATTATTTATAAGTAAACACATTTGTTTTGTCGCCAAATTCATATTTAAAATATCTTAATATCAGTAATAATGATCTTTTACTATGGAATAGTTGACCTTTATAAGGCTCATAGTTAAGTAATAAAGACCTTCTATATTGCTGCTAATGGAACAAAGTTAAACTTAAATGTATATCTTTATTTCATAGGTAATCAAATTGCACTTGTAATTGTCACAATGACTAAACACTGTTTCTTATTCGTAAAGCAGATTTCCCTGAGAGGAATGAATAGGAGACTCTAGGCTTTGCGCTTTTTGAATAGATGTTCTGAGTCATTTAAAATCAAAATCAAAAACTTACCTATTTAAAAGTGTCCCACGCAAAACAACCTAAAACAGCTAAACAATTAATCCCATGAACAATTATCATCCCAAAAACTGGATAATCTGGAACTGGAAAAAAATGTCAATAAGTGTAGTTATAAACCTCGTAAATGGAAAAATGTTGAATATCAACCAGAATCTTATAATAATAATTAGAGTTGCAACGAATATTCGGTTACTATTCGGTAGTCGGCTTATTCGGCCTATTTTTTACTATACGTCCGAATACCGAATATTAAATCACTATTCAGCCTAAAAACAGGAGGAAGATATAAGAAAGTACAGTAAATTATCACAAATAGTTACTTCTATGAGATAAAAAAAGTTAATACTTAACAAATCAAATGAACACTACCTACTTATTATGTAATTTTGTCATGAAATCATAATTAAATAAACGCTAACAAAATCAACCTAGTACTTATTATTTGCAAATGAAAATAAAATTAAGTTTTAGAAAGTTAATCAAACTGAAGTGAAATAAACAATTACTTTCTTCGCTAAGGTGTCGTAAAGTTGAAAATAAAATTTCCTTTTTTGTATCTTTGCTATAATGCGGTTTGCGCGCCAATTTTCGTAAGAACATTAATCAGGCCGAATAGTTTGGCCGATAATTCGGCTATTCGGCCTCGCTCCGAGCCGAATATTCGGTATCCGGCCTGAAGGCGAAATACTATTCGTTGCAACACTAACAATAATTCTTTGTTAACAGGTATATACCCATAAAAATACAATTTATAATAATTATATATAAAAACAAAAGCAAAAGCAATAAAAGAATTATAATACAATAATAATAAAATACAATACAATGCGCTTATAAGATTGTAATAATAAGCCTGTCATTTCTTACTCCCATCACGATGCACGGAAATCCAGTATTTAAAAAAGGAATTGTGCATGTGCTGACTGATTGTACGGAGAATCCTGTTATCAGACACACGGAGACAGCTCCAAAAGCTGGCGACGCGAGATCTCGGCGAACATACTCGATGCGCTGCAGTATCTTGACTGGGTCATAAGAATGCTATATGCGTCATTATACTGCACTCTAACGGTTCTCATCGCGTGTTTCGAAAACCTACTCCAGAGTTGACACGTATAGAAGCATAAACAATATGCCCTAAACAACGTCGTCGCTCTGACATCACCACTACACCGCGCCAATCTACGCGCAAGCATGTTGCACCGAACGGCTAGAACCCTGCGCTCTCGTTCTATATCGTCATCATCCACTAGACTCTCCGTTAGCACGTGCCCAAGGTATTTGAATTTATCCACACTCTCCACTTGCGCACCATCTAAAAACATTGGCGGAACGTTCGCCGGGTCCCTTCCGGCTTTAAAGACCATTAGTTGCGTCTTCAGGACATCATATTTTAAGCAGTTATGAGCATACTGCCACACAGTGTCAGTGGCAACAGAAACGTTATACATCTTAAACGATTTGTGACTTCGTGAAGGCCACTGTCAAGAACAGCTAGTTATTCTTAAACCTTTCTTATTTTTCATGAACAAAGTTACTATATTACGAAGATATAAATTACATTTTCATAAATGTATTGTTGCTAGTGTTGTTTGTTTTTATACACTAGATTAGATTTAAGAGGATCTAATATCTTATTTAATGACATACATATAAGAGCCACTTTTATTAAGGAAAACTACGCTTAGTAGAAAGTAAATAAACTTGTTAATAATAATTTATGATTGAGCAATAAAAAAGCCTATCAAACTACTATAAAATGGATATAAGGCAGACCGTAAAAGTAAAAATTAATTTGTCTTTAGTAACAATCCGTATAAAAGAACTGAGATCTATGATTTAAAAGTTGAAATTCTCACAGATTAAATATGCGCATACTGATTGGCCGCAAGCGCCGCCCATTGGCTAGTTCGAACGTGGAAAAAAACACGTGAATTTTTTTTCTAAACAACGTAGAATGTACGTTACGTCAGCCGCTCCGTGATTGGCCGACGCCTCCCGCGCGGGCGGCCATTGGACTATTTTTTTTCTACTTTCCACGTAACATTTTTTTCCGAGAAAAATTCCGACCAATGGTAGACGTAGTTCTAATTTTAAAAGTTGTAATTGCGTTTTTGCAGTTTCGCTTTGCGGCCAATGTTTTAGGAACGTTATGATTTTATATTTGGAACAGTTTATAGATGTTTGTTTGATGGTTATGCGTTCGATGTTTGAATTCGATTGCTTCGGATTTTCTTTAGATCCTAAATGTATTTGAAGATAGAATGGATTCGTTTTATGATTAATTTTATTATTTTGTGGCAAACAACGATTAAACTGATTTATTTAGGAAGAACAAACAACATAAATTTGTGAAAAATGTAACACAATGCTCTAAGTCATTTAAGTCCCACCACTGGGCACGGCTATCATTTTAACAATTGACAGAGCAAAGTCTGTCACTCTATGCTGAATGCGTATAGCACACTTTGAAGTTTTGTAGACCTTATGAATTATGAAAAATATTACCACGTCCACTAATGAACAAAGAAATTCCTACACAAGTGCACCCTACCCTGTCATTATGCTTTAACTCCGTCGTTAACTGTCGTAGAGCTACTATTCTAACGTAGGTATTATAACGTGTATTGTCAGAATTATATCTTTGCGGTGTCCCTTTGACAGGTCGCTTTCGATTTCAAAGAAAAGTGGAAAATGGAAGGGACAAAACTATTCAATAAGCGAGGCCTTATATGAGTTTTGTTATTCTATCTTTGAGTAATAAATGTAAAATATAGGATCATTTATTTGTAGGTATATTTATATAAAAAGTTGTAAGTTATATAAGTTATATAAAAAATATTATTTTGATCATGAAACGAATAGCTCGGTTTTTGTTTTCTATGAATTTCTTAATAGAGTAGTGAAGGTTAAAGGTCATGCTGCCTCAACGAAAAATAAATTAAAATAATTAAATGGGATTATGTAATTAGACAAACAAGACTGAATAGGTACTTAGTTAGTTTGTCAGATTAAAATAGCTAGTTAATGATAGCCAGATTAAGTCGGTTTAAATTGAACGTAAAAAAATAAACAACCGAATATAGAACTCTTTGTTATTTTTGTATAAATTGATAATGTAATAATTACAGTTAATTGATTTATTTCGTACA